TTAAATATACTAATATTTGTAACCATTTGTCCATACAAAATGTTACAGATCGCTGTGCTGTTTGCTCGAGAAAAAGCTCAGGAGCGGCGGACACTGAGAGGCATTGTGAAAATCCCACGTCTTTTGCTGCCAATATTTGAAATAGTCGTACAACCAGAAATGGGTAAGTAAAAGTAAAGCAATGTAACGAATCATTCAGGTAATTTATTTTGACAATTGTAACCTCTTGCAGCTTGTCAAAACCTGCAGTATAAACATACGGGTACAAGTGAAGATTTGAAAAAGTAAATAAATAAATAAATAAATAAATAAAAACATGTTTTCTTGTTCACAGCTCTTCAGTCATTTGAACATGATGGTAGATCTTGCGTCACATCTTCACCTGATAATATGATTGTATTTTCTCAGGTAAATACATTTTCTGTTCTTTTCTTAAACTGACAGGTACATGTTGGATACTGAAAATACCTATGGTATTAACTTTGTGTTTATATATTCCATAAAGACATGGATGTTGATTACATATTGAATCTCGCTTCTGTTGCAAAAAATAGCGATGAAAGCACAGACCATATAATTAAAATACATGTAGAAATACATTAATTCTGCTTAGACAAAAACTGTGCACAACTGAAAATTGTGTCTGATTGTACATAATCTATTGAATTGACTGAAATTTCTTGTTATTGTAGAATTTTAAGCAAATTCTGGATTCTGTGAGAATTATGTTTGGTGCTAGCCGACAATCACCTGTTGATACTTCTACTATCAGTTGTGAATTACCAAATGGATATCGATTAATGATCGGTGTTGGTAAAAATGGTTATTATCACTTTGAAGGTAAATAATGTTTTATGATATCTTAGCAATCCTCCTTTGTTAAACTCACTAAGGCCTAAATCAATGACTGTTACAAACATGGAAAATTATCAACTCGCCTAAAATAAAACCAGATGTTTCCACGCATGTGCAGAATTGTTTACATCTCATGTGAAGAAAGGTCAGCCAAGTAATATACACTATAACTTATCTTGCGTAATCATGTGGCTCAGCATATGGAACAGACAACATGAAGAAATTTTCAACAACATAGTTACTTCATTTGAATTATTAATTAAATTGCATAATATTTAAACTGCTGTCATTTTAGATTGGTCCACAGTCTACAGATTTCTTCTTTTTTTTTCATTGTTAAA